AGGATTTTAATAATCGTCATGTTCACTTGTTAAATGATAGGGTTTTAATAATCGTCATGTTCACTTGTTAAATGATAGGGTTTTAATAATCGTCATGTTCACTTGTTAAATGATAGGGTTTTAATAATCATATAATAATCATAAACTTTCTTCTATTATGTTTCTGAATAATTATTTATCTTATTTTATACATTAATACTTCTTGCTAGAACTTTTAAGTTTCTATTGTTTGAAATCAGACTCATTTCAAGTGGTGTATCTTGTTCGTTTATACATTGCACATGGCAATAATTACAGTACAGTTGTTTTCGTTCCTTTGTGAAAGACGGCTCTCCCCAAAATTTCAATTTTTGTTAACCCTCTTTAATAATGGAAAAAGTGCACAATAAACGTAAAAATCTAACCCTTAAAGAAAATATTGCAATTTAGGAAAGCTATAAGTTACCAAAAATGGGGCAACGTAACCGATCAGTACAAATAACAATTTACCAACCTATTTTGTATAAAATTTTTAAAAATCGAGCCGACATTGAGAGGGGAGCAAAACAGAATGAAAACCTAAACTGTAAATGAAAGCGCAGTGGCAAAGATGAACAGGTCGAATCGACATTACAACTTTGGTTTCATAATGTTCAGGCGAGTTTTATAAACAGTATGAATATGAAAGTTTTATTAATGAATTGCTCCTAAAAATAGCAGACAGTCAACTTTAAATGAATTTTTCTAATTCTTGCTTTAATTGTTTTCCTTTTTTTGAACTGTTTTTAAGTATGTCAATAAACGTTAAAAATCCAGCTGTCAAACTTTTAGGTAACAGGTTTGCTACTATATCACTAAACATTACTGTAACTGCTGAATTTTTATATCATTGGTTAACGTTATCATTCGGTTATTGTTATCAATGCAACTGTGTCCCGAAGTGATCACAATAAGCTGCATCCACTGTATATATACATGACGTGTGTGTGGTCGGTAGAAATAATAAAATGTATACTAGTCAATTGGACAACTAATACGCTACTTGAGTGCTACCACGCCTATAGTTTTATTAACACAAAGGTTTTTTCATTAATCTTTAATTTAAAGGTATGTTCATTTTAGGATATTTCTTTCATATCAACGTGTAAAGTAAAATGTGAATAACTTGTATGTAACCGTCAATTATATCATGTAAATAGCACTAGAATCATTTACCACATTTAATAATTATTAAAATTTACAAAATAAATCCGAAATAAATGGAAGCAGTGGCATCTACCTTTTTACGACCATATTTATCGGCCATTTTCCCCCAAATCGGCGATCCAATACCTATTGTAAGAAACACCGTCTGTAAAATATGGAAAATATGTTAACAAATGGAAAATAATTTTTATCTTGTATATACTGATAACGTGATAAAACCTTGAATCTTATCTATTTCTTATAGTTAGTATTATAAACAAGTCGTTATGTTTTATAATTACCATTAGAACATAATGTATGGTGATACTCAATTTCTAATCATGGATTGGTGCTGATAATGTTTTACTATGGAACTCTTTAGATCAAGATCGGCCAATGAGAGAGAGTGAATTAAATGTAACATATAATTGAAGATTATAAACTTAAAGTCTTTATTTTAACTGATGTACAAGTAATGAATAAACTTATATTTCTCATGTTTATTTATTCACCAATTTTACCCCCCTCCCCCAAATAAATCAATTTTTTGACCTACTCTCTTGTTTCCTCTTATCTGAATCAATTATTCTCTGCCAAAATGTGTGCTACAGTAGATGCCTATTTGGTCACTGGTGATAACTTGACTAATTTTACGTTCATTTCCAGTTTACTTCAGGGGAAGTAGTAAGAACTCAGTTTATTGGTTTTTTAATTAATTAACTAACGCACATAATAGAGCACATACATTAGTACAACATTTCTTAATGTACAAACGTAATCTTTAAAAATAAAACATAATTAAGAAAAAGTAGTTTATTTTATGTAATAGCCTAGATGATATACTGTTGTTATAGAAAGAATGTCAAACGATTGATGTCTAGGATTCTACGACTACCTACAAGCAAGGTAAATACTTGATAATGGTATAGAAATTGACTGTTACTTTTACAAAAAAAGGGTCCCCAGTGGCACAACAGCATATCCGGGGACTTATACCGCTAGAAACCGAGTTTCGATACCCGTGGTGGACAGAGCACAGATAGCCATTCGTGTAGCTTTGCGCTTAATAACAAACAACAACTAGAAAAAAAAGGTAATGATAACCTCCATCTGTCACTGAGAAAAAGTGTTCTGCTCTAATTTATTTTCTTTCGTCCCATGCTATTGTGTAGTTTTTATAAATCTAAATGCACACAATAAAAAGAAAGACACTTTTATAGCATAACAGACATTTCTGTGATATATGTTTCTGACACAAGCTTTACAATTCTTTTGATAAACATAATTTGTTAGTAATGGTGTTGCCAGAAATTACAAAATAATTAAAAAAACATTATACTTACTGCCGTTAAAAGTGCTACCTGGAAAGATGTTATTTGCCATTCGCAAGCTAAAAATCCGCCCAACACTGATAGAACCATTAATTCACAAGATTCCGCCACCTGGTAAAACAAGTTTATTAAATATGTTAAATTAATAATTATTTCCATAAAATATGTAAATGTACTAAATAGTACAGTCGCAGCGGTTCCAAAGAAAACGTTACACAGCAATGTTTTGTCTAAATCATGCATTATAAGGTGTAATACACAGATAGAAATATAGTAAAGACAAAAAATCCAAAAATGGCTTGCGTAAAGGTGCACCAAAGTAACTGGGCATTATATACGCAATTAAGTTGCATTCCTTGCATGAGATAAGTCAATATTATACAGAATACGATACAACTATCAGTCTAAACTTAGTAAAAGTAAATAAATAAACGATTAGTTTCAGATTTTACACTGTTTATATTACTATTACTCAGTATTTAGGCTTTCTCATTATCCAGGATGTTAAATCTAGCACAGTTAAAAAAACAGTAAATTTATAAAACACATTTCAGAGAAAGAACAATTCTGACATGTACGAATGTAACTTAGTTCCTATAATAAAGATATAAAAACAATACAGAAAATAATTTTGTAACAATGTTATTACAATTCGAAATTAACAAGACTGGCGAGGCAGTAATATAATATACATAAATATTAAAGTCAACCCAGATCTGGAATGATTGGTGGTTTAAGTTTCATATAAATGCTGCTTCTGTATATTTTCTATTTACGTTTTTTTCTTGTCAATACTTTAGTCGTAATTACTTCTGACTAATTATGCAATAAGAACAACATTAATAGAATAAAAATAAAAGAATCGTTAATTATTCGTTAACTAAAACCTAATTTAAATCAAAACACAGGTGTCACCATATATGTTTTTTAAATTGCGATGTAATGCTCACGAAGTATTTCAAAAAATACAGTTACCCGATGATGGCCACACGAGTGGTCGAAACGTTTTAAAAAAAGTTAAATAAAAATAAACAATCCACTGAAAAGCTGTAT